GAAGCGTTTGCTTGAGGTGATCGACACTTTGGTATTTTTTAGTACCAATCTTGCTTTCCAAATCCCGGAGATTTTGGTGGCCATTGTGCGCTGGAAATGAAGCGAGGGACCTCATTTTGTAACCAATCTTGGGTGGCGCGTGCTAAGTTCGATGGTGCTGAGGAATGTCCTGTTTGCATGTCCAAGGCTTTAATACACCCTTCAGAATACATTTATTCTGATGCCACGGTGGATTAATACGAGTGGAGACCAACCATCGGCTGTTATGGCGGCGCACACAATCACCTTGGCCGGCGCTTGAGTTCTGGTGGCCAACTGAAGGTGCAAATTTTCAGCTGTTTACAAACTGCTGGACAATGAATGTTTTCTCATCGGAGAAAATCAAATCGACAGTTCACCACTTTCGGCCAAGCGAAGCAACTCGTTAGCTCTTTTGAGTCTATTTTCATTCTGTTGCGGTGTATCTTCTTGCAGTTTTTGGAATTTCAATGGATTTACCCCGAGCCCATTCTTCAATATTTGCCGAGTGGAATCCTGGATATATTCAGCTCACGAGCCAAGCGAAGCAACTCTTTAGCTCTTTTGAGTCTATTTTCTTTCCGTTGCGGTGTATCTTCTTGCAGTTTTTGGAATTTCAATGGATTTACCCCGAGCTCATTTTTCAATGTTTGCCGAATGAAATATTGCGATATGTTCAGCCCACGAGCCATTTTTCGGCCACTGCGAGGCGGGTTTCGATCAAGTCGCTTCTTTAATTTTCGAACCATTTCTGCTGATGTTGCTGTTTTCTTCCGTCCACTTCCTTGACGTCGAGCTACGAGACACAAAAAAAAAATTTATTCACATTTAAATACTGGAGTGCTCTGTGGTTTTCCAGCCAAATATTATGAAATCACACTATCACGCTTGAATTCCATCAGGAATAACTTCTTTTCTGGAAAATTCTCACCAAAATGCTTTTGTACGCTTGTTAACAATATAATGAGCTGTCACTAGAATAATTTTAACAGCAAGTGGCTTAGAAAGTCTAAAGTTGGTTGCAGATTGTTCATCTTACCCTGCACAGACAATATTTACCTGCTATCATACGATAGTGCTCCCTGATTTTTTGTTATTGTCATACGAATTAAATAAATTTGGAGAGGTAAATTGTTTTCATAGTAAAACAATTGGCGAATATTAATTTTCCAGATATGAGAACATCGGAGTTCCTCCCTAAAAATACCAAATCAAGTATCTTTTTCATTATGACGAAGATGAAAAGAACTATATTAAAATACCGTCTGCCCGTTTGTGGTTTGAATGTACAATTAGCAATATGATTTAAACAAATGCAAGTGCGATTATTAATCGCAACAATCGTTTTTTGTTTTACAAATTCCAATGGGCAAGAAACTTGAATAGAATTAAAAAAAAAATGCATTGCCTGATCGGGGTGGATCGATTGCGAATTAAAAAATACTTTTGCTGTTTAGCATTTGATTTAAATTTCTGACTTTAACTGGGCGTGTTGCTCGCTGCCTGCAATGAAAATGCATAATTTTATATAAATATTGATGAGTTACAGATTAAATATGTGTTTAGCAACAACAACAGTAACAATTGTTGCTGGTACGAATAATATGCTTCTTGGTTAGGCTATAAAATACTTTACTTTGATATTTTTAATAAAAAATGAACATATGTTAATTATCTTTAATTCTATTTTTCACACTTTTTACAAACTGAATGAAAAAAGTTAAAATTAAGACAGACTTTTTTTTTTGGATGTCTTCAGATGAATAGTTATAGGTTCTAAAATAATATTATGTATTTAGTATACGTTAATTATTTCAAAGATATATGCGGTCCGCAATCTAATTTTTTTCCAACTGGTGCTTAATTCGTGAATGGTAATACTGTCTGATTTGAAAGATAATTAGTTGTATCCTTCCTCTAAACGAGTATGGCTGTGAAAAACTCTAGGCATAATTGGGTAATTTTTTTTTTTCGAAAATGAGAAAATCGTGGCCGTTACGTTATCGGGTCATATTAAACAAATTTTTGTTCACAAAAATTGAAGTGGAGGTTATTGTCAACATCTGGTCTCAACAGGACGTACTACGTGCCACATAGCCTAATCGATTCTCAAAATAATATTTTGCAAACCCTTTATAAAAAAATAAAATGTCGTTCTTTGGTAATAGCATAAGTGGAAAATGGCTGGAAAGAGTTTGATTTTCTTTCAAATGTTCGTAATACCCCTGTTAGGTTTTTATTGACCACGCCCGCTTTTTTCCAATAACGGTTACAACGATTGGCCGATTATTCGTAAAAGACCAATTTACCAATTTATAATGTTCTTAGTAATCCAATTTATGTTAAAAAAATACCATGCCCACATTTGCGTCCACCATCTGATTGTATGAACTTAATTTGTATTGTGTTAGTCATTGATGTTCTCTGGAATGCGTAAACCGATTTTGTTTCTGCAAACTTTATATTAAACGTGACGATAATACCAAGGTTAATATGTATAATTGGTCTTTGTATGTGTATTGATTCATGAGTTACAGCCATTTTAATGCATGCAATTCGCAACATGTATTTTGAAAATATTTCAGTGAGTGAGTCACTCAACGAAACGACTGAAGCCAGAATCTTAAAATTTTGCATGTGAATGTCATTGATGACACTTAGGGGCAAAGTTGGGTTTTCGGAAATTCATATTATAAGTGTACTAAAAAGCACATGACATTAAAAAACACATGTATTTGCCAAACGGATGGAGCTAGAATTTGAAATGGGGGACGCTGATGGGATGTAGGATGTGCAAAAGGTGTTTTTATACCTTTCACCATACAATAGATGTCATTCCGTTTGAAACATCTCGAAATATTAGTCGAAGGCCCAAAAAAAGTATATATATTCCTGATAGGCGATTTAGCGATGTCCGTCTGTTGTACTCACGTTATCTTTCGAACAAATTAATATAGAAGGCTAATATTTGGGCCATGTCGGTCGACGTTTTCGTATAGCCCCATATGTGATAATTTTTGTAAAATGTTGGAATATGCGTGAGGTTCCAGGTATAGTGGACCGAAATATTAATTTCCACTAATACTGATAAATATATTGGGATGTGTAAAATTAAAAAAAAATCGAACAATTATTTCGAATTTTATGCGAATATTTGTTAATCAAAATGTTAACCTTTTGTGGGGAGATACAGATACAGAAGGTGATCAGTATATTTCATATTCACATCAAATCTCTGGTTAAGAAAAATATAAGAAAAATAAATATTAAAAAATTTGTGGAGGAGGTGCCAAAGGGGGTCGACCCACCCCCTTTGGCACCTCCTCATTCATTAGTAAAAATGTTGGGATATGTGATATTTTAGGAGATCGGAGGCTTTCTTTGCATACTATAAAAATTCTATAAAAATCTTTAAAATTCACATACCTTTGAAGGGAGATACTAGAAGGAGTGCTCCGATATCTACAAGCTTCACAACAGATCTTGTCTTGGTAGAAATATTTAGATGTGTGATATTTGATGAGAATGAAAAGAATGAATCGGATCCTTCACCATATCTTTATACCATTTCTTGTGTTGATAGAAATTTTTGAAAGGTATCTGGTGCTAATTTCGTGTTTTACGAGCTTCATGTCTATTCCAAATTGTGAACCGTTACCAGAACGAGTGAACAGATCCTTAGTTTATAAAAATTTTGAGATATGAGATATTTTATGAGAATCGGAAATTTATATCGCATATTAAGAGAGATATAATTATTAAAAAATTGTACCCAATATGGGGGAGTACCAGAAGGAGTGGTCCTATATATTTCCTCCTCACGCCAAATTGTGTTTTAGTAGACATATTGGGATGTGTGAAATTTAAAGGGAATTTTATGCTCATTTTGCGTTTTACGAGCTTCGTGAAGGAGTGAACCGATATATCCCATCTTCACACCAGAACTTCTGTTTACAAAAACATCGAAATTTGGGAAATTTTTAGACAATCGGACTCTTACCTTCAATTTTATAAGAGTTATAATTATTCAAAATGTTGATCTTTTGTGGGGAGGGAATTGATGGAGTGGACCGATATTGTCCATTTTCGCACTTGACCTAGCACAGATAAAAAATTAGGATTTGCCAAGTTTGGGCAAATGCCTTTCTTTTGTTAAGAGGTAAATTATTTTCTTTGAAAATGTTGACTTTTTATGGGGGAGGTGCCAAAAGGAGTGAACTGATTTTGTCCATCTCCGAACTACATCTTAGTAATATTACGATGTTCCAAGTTTGGACCAAATCGTATTCTCCCTTCTAGAGTTATCATGCGCACCATCCATGCAGACAGATGGACATCGCTTGACCGACTCCAAATGTCCAAAAAACGGATTTGGTTCACATAGAACTAGTGTTAAAACCGTTATTTCGATGAGGCTCGTTTTTGGCCGTATCAAATGATATAACCCTCTGAAGGTATAAATACTGTCAGCACGACACATCCGTAAATGTACGGCAAATGCAACTGGCTAAACCCAAGGGTGACATTTTTGCGGGACTGAGTGGCAGTATATCCATAACGAAATCAATTAAGATGCGTTTGGACCTAAGGGGGTTCTCAACATATTATAGTGTTGTAGGGTATCACATTGTCGGCTCCGAACGACTATAGAATTTGCTTATTTTTTTATTGTACATTTGGCATTTGAAATTTTTTATATTATTTTTTTCGCATGTGTTTTTCCAAAAAATAAGTAAAATAGCACATAAGTTCAGTCCGGCAGAACAAGGATTCTTTTAATATCCATTTGAAGTATTGTGCAGTCCTCGTTTTGGATGGAAGTTAGCATAGAATGATGTAGTTTACCTACCATGGCATTGTAGCAGAGCCGTAGGACCATTAGACCTCCTATCCTGCTCCTGAATTTAATTCTTAATTGGTTAATTTGCTTTCAGATTAATATATTTTCATTGTTTCGATTGATATATTTTCTTACAGATGCCATGTTCTTACGCATTCGTTTCCTCCTCACCTTTCTTATACTCTACGAAATGCCATGCATTTTGCGCGCTCAAGAGTATCTAAAAGAGTTGCGCCCCAAGTTCTTCAACTTTAGAGAGGATCAGAAGCTGCCTCCAGTTGAAGTGCCCCAACCGCTACTCTCTCATCGTACGGGTAAAGCGGAATTTTTCAATTTTCATGATGATTTGATGGTGGAAAATGACACACGGCAACCAATGTCTCCGAGACCTACTCTGATGGATATTGTATTGGAATCATCGGCACGAGAGGGCCTAAATGCCATGCATCATTTGTACGGCATTGTCGAACCGGATATGTTGAAAAATGGTGGGTAAGAGGGTTGGAAAAATTAAATATATTTATTTTATTGAAAAAAAATATATATATATTTTTTTAAATTTGGTTGTTAGGTTATGTCTTGCACGATGATCATCCAGCTGCTTTGCTGTCCAAATTTAGTGCCCCCGTTGTGGAAAGTTCAAGGCGAGAAATGGCAGCCTATGCAACATTAACAGCTGCCAAGGCATTTCGCAAGAAGTAAGTTATATTTTTTGATATAATTTATATACCCTCCACCATACATCATAGTATGGAGGGTATATAAAGTTCGTAATTCCGTTTGTAACTCATCGAAATAATAATTTTTGACTTAACAAAGTATACATATTTATGATCTTAACCCTGTCCGTCCATCCCTTCAACTGTTGTAATCACGCCAGAGTCAAAACGAATTAAGATAGGAAGCTAACATCTGCAAGCAGATCAAGTTCGAAGATGGGCTATATCGATCCACGATATCATATAGCCCCCATATAAAAGTACCCCCGATGTTGGCTATGTAGATGGTTGTAGCCAAATTTTTCATTGAAATTGTCTGAAAATCCACACAAGAAGTTCCTTCTGAGTACTTTACCCCTGGAAGATTATTGTTTATATAGGTCCACGATATCGTATATCCCGGTAACACGGTACCCCCGATAATTGATATTTTGATGATTTCAGCAACATCAATCATGGGAGTTTTGCCTATGACAAAAAACTGCATATGGACAACCACGTCTTTGTATAGCCTACATACAGGGTGAGATAAAAAACTGCAACAACGTCAAACGTCATAATTTCAACATTTTTTTTTTTTAATTTTATTGAATGAAAGCAAAAACTGTCGGAAATAGCATCATAGCATAGCATTTTAGAATAAGTTTAGATTTGTTCGAATTGGTCACCTTTGGCACGAATTATGGCCTTCAAACCGCCAATGAAACCGTCACACGCTGTTCGAATGTTTCTCTGCGTTTTTTTTGCCCATTCTCGGAGAAGCGCTTACTTGAGGTGATCGACACTTTGGTATTTTTAAGTGCCAACCTTGCTTTCCAAAATATTTCAGACACAACGGATTGGTATCCGGAGATTTTGGTGGTACGCTGGAAATGAAGCGAGGAATCTCAGCTTGTAACCATTCTTGAGTGGCGCGTGCTGAATGCGTTGGTGCTGAGTCCTGTTGGAATGTCAAAGGTCTGCGGCCAAAATATTTGCGTGCGGACTTTATTACACCCTCCAAAATATTTTCGCGATAATATTCGGCATTTATTCTGATGCCAAGGTCGATTAATACGAGCGGAGAGCGACCATAGGCTTTTATGGTGGCCCACACCATCACCATGGCCGCCGCTTGAGTTCTGGTGGCCAACCGAAGGTGTACATTTTCAGCTGACCTCTTTGGCTGGCAAGTAAACACGATCATTTTGTTTGTTTACAAACTGCTGGACAACGAATGTTTTCTCATCGGAGATGGAGAGAACCAAATTTGGCAGTTCACCACTTTCGGCAATTCTATAGCTCTTTTGAATCTATTTTCTTTCTGTTGCGGTGTAAGTTCTTGCACTTATCGAAATTTCAATGGATTTACCCCGATCTCATTTTTTAATACTTGCCGAATGGAATATTTCGATATGTTTAGCTCACGAGCCATTTTTCGGCCCCTGCGACGCGGGTTTCGATCAAGTCGCTTCTTGACTTTTTGAACCATTTTTGCTAATGTTGCTGTTTCTTTTCTTCTACTTCCTTCACGTCGGGCTACGCTACCAGTATCACGGTAACGAGACACAAACGGTGGTATGAGACACAAAAGATATATTCACATTTAAATGTTGGAGTGGGCTAACGAAAGCCACTTGTGGTTTTCCAGCCAAATATAATGAATTCCATCACGAATAAGTTTTTTTTTTTCTGGAAAATTCTCACCAAAATGCTTTTGTACGATTGTAAATAATATAATGAGCTGTCACTGGAATAATTTTTACAGCTTTCGGACGAGTGGCTTAGAAATGACAGCAGTCTTAAGTTGGTTGCAGTTTTACATCTCATACTGTAATTTTCACTTTTAGTACATAAATTTGGAATGCTATTTTCATCAAAACTATTGTACCTAGATATATGATTTATTCTGAGATTTATAGTGAAATTTTGTGTAGAATATTTCTTCTTCTGACAACTTCATCGTAAAACGAAATTTTATGTTATTTTCAGGCGTCAAATCGAAAAGAGCTCGGTAAAAAATTTATCAAAAAAATAAAAGAAATATTTTCGGGTTGTTTTTTTCGGAACATTGATGCAAACATATTTAGGCATAGGTACGATGGATATAGAGATTTCTTTTCTTTGGTAACTTATAGTGAAATTCGATGAAGAATTTTTTAGTCTCGGACGTCATTCCTCTAAAACGATGACTTGTTGGAGATTTTTGAACAAATTCACCCAAAGAAAGACTTTAACCCTTAAATGTGAATTTTTAGCGCTTAGATAAGATTTATACCTTTGAGTCTCCTAGGAGCTATGATTGAATTTTATGTTTAATAATTTTGTGGAATATTTTGACTTAATACGATTCCGTTCAAAGAGATTTTTTGCAATATTTTAAGAAAAGACTAAAAACTTTGAAAATTTTCCGGAGAAAATTTGATCCAAAAAATTTGGGAATATTTTCGGCTTTTATCCGTACATTAATGTAAAAATATTTTGGCATACAGTAGAAATGGAGATTTAATTTCTTTGGTAACTTATAGTAAAATATGATGAAGAGAATCTTTGTCCTTGAGGTCATCCTTCTAAAATGATGCTTTGTTGGAGATTTTTGCACAAACTCACACAAAGTACGGTATTAACCCTAAAATGTGTTTTTAGTACATATGAATTGCTGGCGTTTGGGTAAGATTTAGATCTTTGATGTCTTTAAAGACCTATAGTAGAATTTGATGACAAATAATTTTGTGGAATATTTTAACTTGCTACGATCCGTCGACGGTCGTTTAAAGGGAGATTTTAGCCATATTTTAATAAAAGGAGCAAAAAGACCCCTTTATTGACTCTTTTGAAGGTTAAAATTTTCTATCAAAATATTCCCTGCATTTTTATCCGCAATATTGCCAAAGACACTATATACCTAATATGCAGGGATTTTAAGGAATCTTAATTCGAACATTTCCAAATTGTGGACGAGGGGAGAACTTGCCCCCTCTCTTTAGGTTACTTTACGATGTAAACATTCAAAACTCTGATTTTTTATGGTTCTATGAAGTTTTTTTCACTTTTCATATCCCGATGCTATATTTTAGTCATTTTCCAAGCATTTTGATGTGTCGTTTAAAATTCAATACTCCATTTTCACATCCAGACCAGATAACGTCTTCTCACAGCTCCATTTAGAAATTTCATTTTTCACCCAAAGAAAGGAAACACTTTCTGTGCTCTGAATATTTGCAAATCTATTATTATTGTCATATCCGGTTAGATACGAGTATTCCTACATCTAACAAACAATCCACTCTTCATTCATTAGATTGTTCAGTCGCCCGTTCCAGTGCTGTTGGCTCTTAAAAACAATCGCACATAAATGCCAACTTTCACTTTGACATTGAAACTATTGTTGGTTGACGATGATGATGGTTGAGACTGGTTGGTTCGCTGGTTGGATGGTAATTTGAATTTTTTGAATCTTTGAATCGTTTGGTTCGCGGTTTCGTTTTCTTGTCATGACTTTGGGAGTGGAGTTGGCGATTTGCTGGCGCAAAGAGTAAGTCTTTCAGTGAAGTTGTTTGTCGTTGTTGTTTGGTGGTATTTACAGGCACTGCACGCTCCAACCATTAGGAGTTGAATGTACCAACCAACCAAAGTCGCCGTAATCAACGCCAAACAATCTTGAAGAATTTCAAATGTGTGTTGATGTTGCTGTTGTTGCTGTTTTTATTGTTTGATTTTGCAAAATTGTATCCCAACTATTACTTGGCACAACAACAAAAAAGCGAAAGAAAATGAAAAAGCTGGCGAACATAAGAAGTGATTAAAAAGTGATAGCAAAGAAAATTTGAGAGAGAAAAAAAACACCAAATGAAAATGAAACCCACCTCGGAAGTGGGTTTTCTATTTTTTTTCATTACGGTTTGAATGTTGAGATATGGATTATATTGGGTGGTAATTATTTCACCATCGGAAAAAGGTAATTAGAATGTTTTCAATTTAAAAATAAGGAAAAACTTGGTTTCCCCCATGGGTTATGAAAAAATCCAGATCGATCATCAGGCAAATCATGAGTAGGAAAAGCATTGGAATGTTATGTTTTTGTTTACCCTCAGTCAAATGGCTAGAGAGGGTATACACCATTTGAAACTGCCAGGTATGCACGATAACTTTCGAAGGGAGTTTCCGATTTTGTCCCAACTTGGTACATCGTAATATTATTATTAAACTCAGATCGAGCTCGGAGATGGGCAATATTGGCCAACTCCTTCTGGTACCTCCCACACAAAAGGTCGACATTTTTAAAGAAAATATTTTACTCCTCAGAAAAAGGAACGATGATCCGATTTTGCTCCAACTTTGTCAATTCTAATATTTCCATGATTGCTGTGTGAGGTGGAAAAATTTACAATATCGGTTCACTCCATCAAGTACCTCCCCCACAAGGGGTCATATTTTTGAGCAATTATTTCTCTGACTTTCTTCAAATTACATACAACACTATATATGTATTAACCCAAGGTCTGATGTGAATGCGGACTGTATCGCTCAACTCCTTCTGGTACCTCCCCTATATAGGGTCAAAATTTGGAATATCCATGAAGCTCATAAATTGCAAAATTATCATCCGATTCCATTCAGACTTAGTACATCTCAATATTTCCATTAACAGAAGATCTGTTATAAAGATGGTATAGATCGAACCATTCCTTCTGGTATTTGCTGCTTGCACACTCCTTCTGGCACCTCCCTCAGAAAGGAAATTTTTAACATCAATAAAGCTGATAAAACTCATATAGGGTTCAATTCATTTTATTCTGTTGTTGCAAAATGGTCAGGCTTTATCCCTTTATTGTTGTTTTTATAAAACAACGTTTGTTTATTAGTGGAGAACGATGGTAATGCTTACCAGGGGGTAAGGCAGGGAATACCTAGGTTTCGGAAAGAGCCACCAATTCTCATCAGTTCCCTTTTTTGTCTGGGATATTCCCCCCAGAAGTTATTTTAAAAATAACTTCTAT